AAGTGTTCGACCTCTATTGATGATCCATATAGTCCAAGCGCCCATAAAGAAGTACTCAAAATTGGTAGAGTGCTAGCTCCACATTTTCTTATTTATGTAGTATTTCCTATAGAAATCTAATCCGAGAAATTTTACGATAACTAAAGAGATGAGAGAAGATATGGCATGCTAGGGTTAGGAAGACAATAATTTTCTCCTAGCTTTTTATTTTGAGTTACGTATCCTTTTTATTTTTCTTTGTTAGTTGAAATTTCTCTCACTTTTTCTTCTATGTCCTGCACCACTCTCTCCCATATATTTATAGGAGATACTTCCTTATCCTTAGAGGACAAGGAGGGGTGGCAATGATTCCCTTAAGGACTCTAGGTTGTTACTTTCCAATCCTCTAAGGATTAGGAGTTATTTTATTTGTGAGCTTTTAATCTTTATCTTTAAAAATTCATCCTTATCCAATAAGGTTAATATTTATCTTAAAATATTCATCCTTATTGAATAAGGTTATGTTTATCATCTCACAAAAATATCTTAAGGCTTTTAATTAAAGCTACTAGGCCAAAATCATTTTACCCTAATTTATTTATTTAGACTATCCCAATAAATGATGGATAATTTTAGGCGACCTACATTAGAAAATAATTTTTTAAAATATCCTTTAATCTAAATTAGGAAACTCTGTTTCATTTTAGGTTATTTACCTCCAAATTTGGAACCAACTTCAAAATTAGGAAATTGATTTCTAAAATAGAAAACTTTTCATTTTAGAAAACTTTCCATTTTTGAAAACCGTTTCCAACATAGGAAAATTTCAAAATTAAAATTTTTTCCAATATCTTTACTTTTTTTTTTTTTTTAATTATGTGAATGCTTAAACTTATGTGTGTGACTTAATAAGCTCCTAGATATGTTGGCAAAGTAACAACAATAAAAGATACCTCTTTTTTTCTTAATATGTAAATCAAGATTGGCCTCGGTATGACATCATGACTACTCAATTCTCTAAGAGGATTAATTAATCCATTATTACCTTTCTTGAGCATTGTTACCATACAATTCATTTCTCATGTCTATTTATCACAATGTGATCTCGAACTTGGTTATAAGTCTTTTTCGATTATGATCTCTCAAGTATTTTTTGATTTCCAAATGTCTTAGCTCTTAGAGTAAACCAACTATACTCTATTGGTGTATTCCTACTAATGCCATAGATTTCTTGAGCGAGATATTTATCAAAGTGCAATGTGATAACTCTTTTAACATATTAGGAATGATATGTCCTATCTTAGTCATGCACCTACCTCCATTAGATTCCTAATGCATCCAACAAATTATCCATGTGCAACCCTTTACTGCTTCGTTAAAACGAGTGTGCTTGTACCTTTCTCTCCTATATATTTATTGGAGAGACTTTCGTGTCCTCCAAGGACAAGGAGGGGTGTCAATGATCCCTTAAGGACTTTAAGTTGTTACTTCCCAATCTTCTAAGGATTATGAGTTATTTTACTTGTGAGCTTTTGATTTTTATCTTTAAAAATTCATCATTATCCAATAGGGTCGATGTTTACCTTAAAACATTCATCCTTACCAATAAGGTTATGTTTATCCTCCCACAAAAATATCTTAAGGCTTTTAATTAAAGTTATTAGGCCAAAACCATTACTGCCTTAATTAATTTATTTAGACTATCCAAATAAATAATCTTAGATAATTTTAGATAGCCTACATTAGGAAATAATTTTTCAAAATATCCTTTAATCTAAATTAGAAAACTTATTTTCTTTTTAGGCTATTTAACTCCAAATTTGGACCCAACTTCAAAATTAGGAAATTGATTTCTAAAATAGAAAACTTTTCATTTTAAGAAACTTTTCATTTTTGAAAATCTTTTTCCAGAATAGGAAAATTTCAAAATTAAAAATTTTATCAATGCCTTTACTTCTTTTTAATTATGTGAATGCTTAAACTTATGCGTGTGACCAATAGGCTCTTAGATATATTGATAAAGTATCAAGAATAAAAGACACCTCTTTTATCTTTTGATACATAAATCAAGATTGACCTTTAGCAAGCCATCATGACTACTCAATTCTCTAGGAGGATTAATTAATCCATTATTACCTTTCTTGAGTATGGTTACCATAGAATTCATTCCTCATGTCAACTTATCACGAGTGTGATCTTGAACTCGATTATAAGTCTTTTTCGATTATTATGTCCTAAATTTTTTTCGATTTCCAAATGTCTTTACTCTTTAGAGTAAACCAACTATGCTCTATTGTTGTATTCCTACAATGACCATAGATTTTTTGAGCGAGACATTCATCAAAGTGTAATGTAATAACTCTTTTACCATACAAAGAATGACATGTCCTATCTTAGTCATACACCTACCTCGATTAAATTCCTAATACATCCAACAAATCACCCATGGGCAACCCTTTACTACTTTTATTGAAATGAGTGTCCTACACCTCTGTCTCTCATATATTTATAGGAGAGACTTTCATGTCCTCTAAGGACAAAGAGGGGTGGTAATGAGTCCCTTAAGGACTTTAGATTGTTGCTTCCTAATCCTCCAAGGATTAGGAGTTATTTTACTTGTGGTATTTTGATCTTTATCTTTAAAAATTCATCATTATCCAATAAGGTCGATGTTTACCTTAAAACATTTATCATTATCCAATAAGGTTATATTTATCCTTCCATAAAAATATCTTAAGGCTTTTAATTAAAGCTATTGGGCCAAAACTATTACGGCCCAATTAATTTATTTGGACTATCCAAATAAATAATCTTAGATAATTTTAGGAAGCCTCCATTAGAAAATAATTTTTCAAAATACCCTTTAACCTAAATTAGGAAACTCATTTTTATTTTAGGTTATTTACCTCCAAATTTGGAACCAATTTCCAAATTAGGAAATTGATTTCTAAAATAGAAAACTTTTCACTTTAGGAAACTTGCCTTTTTTGAAAACCTTTTTCAAAATAGAAAAATTTCAAAATTAAAACTTTTTTCAATATCTTTACTTCTTTTTAATGATGTGAATGCTTAAACTTATGCGTGTGACTCAATAGGCTCCTAGATATGTTGATAGAGTATCAAGAATAAAAGACACCTCTTTTATCTCTTGATACATAAATCAAGATTGGCCTTTAGCAAGGCATCGTGACTATCCAATTCCCTAGGAGGATTAATGAATCCGTTATTACCTTTCACGAGCATGGTTACCATACAATTCAACTTATCACGAGTGTGATCTTCAACTCGGTTATAAGTCTTTTTCGATTATGATCACATAAGTTTTCTTCGATTCCCAAGTGTCTTAGCTCTTAGAGTAAATCAACTATGCTCTATTAGTGTATTCCTATTATGGTCATAGATTTCTTGAGCGGACATTCATCGAAGTGCAATGTGATAACTCTTTTAGCATACAAGGAATGACATGTCCTATCTTAGTCATACACCTATTTCCATTAGATTCCTAATGCATCCAACAAATCACCCATGTGCAACCTTTTACGGGGTCTATTTAAATAAGTGTGTTGCACGTCTCTCTCTCATATATTTATAGGAGAGACTTTCATGTTCTCCAAGGATAATGAGGGGTGGCAATGAGTCCCTTAAAGACTCTAGGTTGTTGCTTCTCAATCCTCCAAGGATTATGAGTTATTTTACTTATGGAATTTTGATCTTTATCTTTAAAAATTCATCCTTATCCAATCGAGGTTGATATTTACCTTAAAACATTGATCCTTATCTAATAAGGTTATATTTATCCTCCCACAAAAATATCTTAAGGCTTTTAATTAAAGCTATTGGCCAATACCATTATGACCTAATTAATTTATTTGAATTATTCAAATAAATAATCTTAGATAATTTTAGGAAGCCTACATTAGGAAATAATTTTTTAAAATACCCTTTAACCTAAATTAGGAAACTCATTTTCTTTTTAGTTTATTTACCTCCGAATTTGGAACCAACTTCCAAATTAGGAAATTGATTTCTAAAATAGAAAACTTTCCATTTTAGGATACTTTCCATTTTTGAAAACCTTTTCCAAAATAAAAAACTTTCAAAATTAAAACTTTTTTCAATATCTTTACTTCTTTTTAATGATATGAATGCTTAAACTTATGCGTGTGACTCAATATGCTCCTAGATATGTTAGCAAAGTATTAAGAATAAAAGATACCTCTTTTATCTCTTGATACATAAATGAACATTGGCCTCTACAAGGCATTGTGACTATCCAATTCTCTAGAAGGATTAATTAATTCGTTATTTCCTTTCACAAGCATGGTTATCATATAATTCATTTCTCATGTCAACTTATCACGGTGTGATCTCAAACTTGGTTATAAGTCTTGTTTGATTGTGATCACATAAGTTTTATTCGATTCCCAAATGTCTTAGCTCTTAGAGTAAATCAACTATGCTCTATTGGTGTATTCCTACTTTAGCCATTGATTTTTTGAGCGGACATTCATCGAAGTACAATGTGATAACTCCTTTAGCATAAAAGTAATGACATGTCCTATCTTAGTCATACACCTACCTCAATTAGATTCCTAATGCGCCTAACAAATCACCCATGTGCAACCCTTTACTAGATCCATTGAAATGAGTGTTAAAGTGCATAAATTCTTTCATGAGATAATTCTAATGACTTAAAGTTTAAGGATTACTTGTACCCATCTCGTATGAGATTCCCACGGACTAAACAAAAAAGGGCAATGAAACTTATGGCCTTTAATTAAAATGAGGGGGCATAATTTGAAGAAACCAAAAAGAAAAGTCCTAATTAATTGAGATTTAAGAACCTCATCAAAACAAAAACCAAAATCGACCTTCAATCAATTCATGGAAGAAAATTAAGGACTAAATTAGAATTTTGCCACAAACCTTATACATGCATTTTTTTTTATATGAAGTACTATTCATTGTCACCTTAAGCGAAAAAAGAAACCAATAGCCATACCCACGCCTACTCTCTCGCCTCACACCCGTAAGTAGCCAAGTTCCACACACCCAAGTCCTCTCTCTCTCACCCACTCTTCCCTCACACCATAGCCTTTCCTTTCACACATAAACACACCTCATCCACACTTTTCCCTCTCTCACATACTCACCAATAACTCTCGCTCTCACTTGAAACCTTTCCATAACGACCCCTTCCCTTTGACAAGCCATTCCGAGCTTATATCCCTAACTCATCCTCCTCACCGAACACTCACACACCAGGCACGTCTAGCGGCCACCCAAGCTAGCGCTCAACGAGCACCTTTCTCGCCCACACCACAAGCATTCCACCGACCAACTCCCTCACTCCAGCCAGGCACATCAACCTACCTCCCACGCGTAAACAACGGGTAGCTAGCCTTCTCCGTTGCCCACCAACAACAACCCCACTCTCGTCTACTAGCAAGATACCGGGCATACGCAATAGCCAATAACGAGCTATCCGATGTGCGCATGAGCTAACACGTAGCAGGTCACCCCACACTTTTTGTGCTAGCGACGAACCCATGCGGCCCTCACCTTGCATGCCGATGAATCGTTCCCTAGCATACAAGCCTTCGCCTTATGTGCTTGCCACTAGTAGCCTCAACTAGCATGCCGGACTCCCTCCAAACATAACCCGACATCCATTCTTTTAGATTGTGCATCAGTCCTACCTCTCACCCAAACTTTAGCCCCTAAACTCAACAACAAACCCCCATTCCGACCCATAGCAAAAGCCCCCTAAAGAACCCCAAAAAATAGCCCCAAAATGGACATTAAAAACCCACTAAAAATCCTCCTAAATCGACCCTGCGACCATTATCAATAGCCCTAAAAATCCTTATAGAGAAACCCCTCCGGGTAGCCCATTTAAACAACCAAAACAGATCAATAAAACAACCCCAATACAGCTTCAAGATAGCCTCAAGAAACCCCCAAAACACATCCCAAATATTCCCAAAAAATAGACCCAAAATAACCACCGATAGCTAGTCTTTACAACCCCGTAACCATTACTAATAGCCTCCAAAAATCCTTATAGAGAAACCACTTTAGACATCCTATTTGAATCATCAAAGTAGTCTTAAAAAATCTCCAAACCGACTTCAAAACAACTCAACCCCACTAAAACCCACCAAAATAGACACAAAACCTCCCTCAAAACAACCCGTTTAACACTTTTGGAGTTACTGAAAAAGAAGAAAATAAAAGCAAAAAATTAAAAAGAAGGACGAAAAAAAAACTTTTCTTGTGTTCGATTGTGTTGGCGAAACAACATGATGTTGTAAACTGCATTTGTTTGATTTTTGACAGGAAAACACAACGAGCAAAAGTCACTTTGGGTTTTTGGGAACTCTACGATCTCGCACCGGGACTTTGTAAGTTTTATAGTAACTTTGGAACATTTGTCCGAGTAAAGGAGGAGTTTTTGGCTACTTTAGTGGCATTCACACCACACACCGCCCACCAACAATTACTCTCCCTTCCCGACTAATCGAATAATCGATTATCATTAGAAATGAAGAGGGTAAGATTGACTCCCGATCAAACATCGATATTTCGGGACTTTTGGGTAAAAATTATAAAGCCATGACATTTTGAAAAACATAATAAAGGTTGAAAATGACTGGTGTGTTTGGAATGTATTTAAAATTATGATGTTTGGCTCCACATTTGTGGATTGAATGTGGTTAAACCGAAATATTACTACAATGACCAAGAAAATGCTCTATTTTTCACGTTATTATGCCTACCTATTTAAATGTGACATTTATGATTTTTTTTGTTTAATTGACTCTTCATGGTTGGTAGCAATGATAAAATAAAGCCATCGATGGCTTTCCACTTATGTGACAAAGTCGTAAGTGGCTTAGAAAATAATTTTCCATTTAATATCTGTTTGTTTGAAATAAAGTTGTTAGTGGCTTCTAACTTATGTGACGAAGGCACTAGTAGCTTCGAAAATAAATTTTCATTTGATGTCTATTTATTTGAAATGAAGTCATTAGTGGCTTCTCACTTATGTGACAAAGCCATCGGTAGTTTCAAAATAGTTATCTGCTTCTTGCTCGAGCTAAATAAAGTGATCGGTAACTTTTAACTTGTATGATGAGGTTATCGTTCTCTTCAAACTCATGACTCGAAGTCATCAACGACTTCCTACTTGTATGCGCGAAGTCGTCCGTGACTCATTGTTCATGCCAATAAAAAGTTATTCATTATTAAATACTCACGTATTGGTTGGTAATAGGTCATGTTCACTAATCATTAGTCGAAATTCCAAATTCTTCCTCCTTTCCTCGTTGGGTAGGGAGTCTTGGCCTTAGACAAACCTCGAACTCCCAAACTACCTTATTTTACACATAAACCATCTTGTTCTTCATTTTTATAAAATAAATTCATTTGAATAGGCATAAGACTATATTCTTTCACCCTTTCCTGTTGGGTAAAGGAGTATTAGCCCTAAACCGACTTCGAATTCCCAAACTACCATATTTACACGCAAACCACCCCGCTCCTCATTTTTACCAAATAAATTAATTTGAATAAGCATAGAAGTATAAAAAAATAAAAATTCAAAATTTTATATTCATAGGCAAATAATGCGACCTACCTTAGGTCGGACATAATGGTGGTGATATCATATTTTTCCCATACATAACCGACCATTTACCTAAATATCTATATAGACTAGTATATTTAGGATTTTCTAGTTCTCCTCGATTATCTAGGTGGCGACTCCTTTTTTGGCCCCCTTCTCTCACGGTGGCCGACGTCGACACCGTAGACTTGCCAAATCGTCAACGATTTCTACTTATAATGTAGCCCGGGTCTTTTAACTCAATGCATCCGCGATGACGTTTTCTTTCTTAGGGTGATAAGTGAAAAGAATATCGTAATCCTTCAACACTTTCAGCTACCTATATTGCCTCATGTTCAGCTCCTTTTACGTGAATATGTATTTGAGGCTCTTGTGATTGGTGTAAATTTAACACCAAGCCCCGTATAACTAGTGTTGTCACACTTTCAACATAAACACCATTGTTGCCGACTCTAATTCATACATCAAATAATTTTTTTCATAATTTTTTAACTATCATGAAGCATATGCGATCATTTGGCTAGCTTGCATCAAAATAGCCCCAAGCTCTATTTTCAATACATCGGTATAAATGATGAAATCTTTGTTGCACGATAAAAGAGCTAATACTGAGTGCTTGAAGTTAATTTGTATTTTAACTCTCAAAAGCTTTTCTCACACTTAACATCCCATATAAATTTAGTGTTTTTCTACGTCAACTTCATGAGTGGAGATGCAATTTTCAAAAATCCCTCAATGAACTTTTGATAGTAACTAGCTAGGCTAAGAAAACTTCATAATTCGAACATTCTTTGATTGTATCCACTCTTGTACCGCCTCAATCTTGCTTGGATCAACGATAACTCCATCTTTAGAGATAACATGACTAAGGAAAGACACTTTCTCAAACCAAAATGAACACGTTTTGAACTTAGTGTATAATTTATGCTCTCACAAGGTTTGCAACATCAACATCAAGTATCCTATATGCTCTTCCCAATTACTTGAGTAGATCAGAATATTAATGATGAAGATGATGATGAAGCTATCCAAATATTTCCAAAAGACATGATTCATCAAATCCATAAATTTTGCAAAAGCATTGGTTAGGCCAAATGGCATCACCATAAATTTGTAATGCACATAACATGTCTAAAAAGCCATCTTCTTCACATCCTCTTCTCTAACCCCCAACTAAAAATACCTAGATTATAAATCGGTCTTTGAGAGCACAATGCTACCCCTCAACTAATCAAACAAGTCACCGATGGGTGAGAGTGGGTACTTATTCTTGATATTAACTCGATTTAGCCCACGATAATCCATACACAACCACAATGTTGCATCCTTCTTCTTCACAATCAATAGCAAAGCTCCACAAGGTAAACAACTAGGGTGAATGTAGCCCTTGTCCAAAAAACCTTACAATTGGATTTTTAGCTTCTTAACTTTTGCGAGTGCCATCCTATACGAAGCTTTTGAAATCGATATTGCTCCTAGCTCAAGCTCAATCTCAAACTCAACATCTCATTTTGGAGGCACCCCTATCAAACTCTCGGGAAAGACATCTAGAAAGTCCTTCATAATGTCAATATCTTCTAGTTTGGTTTTTCCCTCTTTTGCAACTTTTGTCACATTGACTAAGCAACCCAAGCAACCACTTTGGATCATTTTCCAAGCTACCATAGTTAAGATAATGCTCACTATTTTCAGCTTGATCTCGACCTAAAATTCAAATGGCTCTTCCCACGGTGGTCGAAACTCAATCCCATTTTGCTAGACAATCAATCGGCTGCTTCGAGTTTGGACAACTTGTCCATTTCTAAAATCACATTGGAGTCTCGGATCCTTAATAAAATTAGATCAACCATCAAGACCCTATCACCAATCCATAATTTATAATTTCGACCACATTCCTAAGCTCCAATATCTCCCCTAACGGGAGGCCTACCCATAGATAACACCAAGTGCCTCAAGTACAAGACCTAATTTTCATAGCATAGACCATGCAATTAATGAATGTGTGACACTTGAATTAAGAAGAGCATATACAACTAAGTTAAGGATAAGAACATTATCTAAATAACCATCGTGTGCTCCTCCTCAACTTGTTCTTGCATCATTATGTATACTCTCCCTAGAATCTTCGATGCATTACACTTCTTTGGATAGTCGTTCGCGATGTGCACGAGTTCCTTACAAAAGTAGTAAGTGCTTGGTGTCGACCAAACAATCCGTAATGTGCTTACGATCATATTTCACATAAGTTGGCTTGTCTCTTGCCTCGGCCCTCTGTTGCCCCTAGGCCACTGCGGGCCTCTTAGCACCATTCTACCATTGTCTCATAAACCGACTTCTCTTAGCAAATTGCTCGATAAACTTATGTGTCACGTAAGGTTGTTTAGGTCATTGCAACCTTATAGCTTTCTTTTGGTCTTCCTCGATTTTCAATACTCGACCGACCATATAGTCATAATCATTTACAAACATTTGCACCGGAATTCACGGCTCTAGGTTTAAACCCCTCAAAAAATGCCTCTTCTTACGTGTAGCAAGCCACGAAATGAAGGTCGTAAATTGACATTCATTTTCGAACTTGCGGACATACTTAGTCACCGACATGTCCCCCTATTCTAGCTTCATAAATTCTTGAATCTTCCTCTATTTCACACTTATCGGAGAAGAACTTCTTATTAAAGATTCCCTTGAATTGTGCCCACGTAAGGTTAGGCATATTCAAGGAAACCTTTATTGATTCCCACCATGTACGCACATCGTTGGTCAACATAAATATGATAGATGACACCCTATCCATGCCGCCAATCGTCATGTGTTCGAAGATCATTTCAATGAACTCAATCCATTCCTCGGCCACCATTGGATCGGGCTTGCTTACAAACTCTTTTGGACTTCATTTTTGGAATCGCTCCACTATGTTAACCCTT